TATTTATAAGCACCCCCTCCCCATAAAGCCTTATGGGGTACACTGTCACATCCTCATCATACCCACTGATATTACACAGCAATTTGCTGTTGAGCAAAGTGTATTTCTTTTTATAGCTAATTTTGTGGTTGAAATTAGGGCCTGTGGAAAAGGAAGGTCTTCTACCCTTAGCCCTATCCCAACAATAGTGCAAGCAGGCACTGTTCAGGCTCTTCTCCTACATACTTCAGCCAGCACCCCTCGAATAGTGATCTGCAGCACCTCCTGCTATTCCCGTCCTGGTTCCTGCATTGCTCATTCAATGTATCTCAATCCTGAGCGCCCGCCCTCCTCCCCATTTTATTCTGGTCGTGGGTGTTTCCTGAAGAGAACCATCCATCACAAGAGTGAGAGATGTCAATGGTTAGTGTCTCATTTATCCTCAGACTCATTTTCGTATGTGATCTCAATCCATATTTCCACAGGGGAGAGGCTACGGCAGTAACCCAGCTGCTGCACCTATTAAGAAACTACCAAACTACAAGTATCAGAGGGGTAGCCATGTTAGTTTGGATCTGTAAAAAGTGGCAGAGTCCTGTGGCACCTTAAAGACTAACAGATGTATTGGAGCATAAGCTTTCGTGGGTGAATACCCACTTCGTCACGCATGAAAGCTTATGCTCCAATATGTCTGTTAGTCTTTAAGGTGCCACAGGACTCTGTACCAAACTACAGTAGCTCAGAAGAGTAAATAGGTCTCTAAACCACAAGAGCCCAATTCTAGTGACACAGGGGGCACCTCTCTGTACGTAGAATGTGACCCCAGCTCGTGAAGATAAGTCATCACTATGGAATTTTACATAGGGCTTGTCTGCACTTAAAAACACTGCAGCGGCACAGCAGTAGTGCTTCAGCGAAGATGCTACATATGCTGATGGGAGGGCTTCTCCAGCTGGCGTAGGTACTCCACCTCCCCAAGAGGTGCTAGTGCTGTCTACATCAGGGGTTAGGACGGTTTAACTGGATTGTCCACACCCCTGAGCGACATGTTATACCGACCTCATTTCCTAGTGTAGACCAGGCCTTAGGGTATGTCTGCACTACAGGTGCTACAGCGGAAGCATGGCATCTACACTGCTGTAGCATTGTAGTGTAGACACTACAGTGATGGAATGAGCTTTTTTTTGCTATAGCAAACCACCCTATTGAGAGACGGTCATTAGGTCAATGGAAGTGTTCTAGCAATGTCTATACTGATTCTTGGGTTGGCTTAACTATGTCTCTCAGAGATGTGAATTTTTCACACCCCTGAGCCATGTAGTTAGGTTGAGCTAAGTTTTAGGCATAGAGGAGGCCTCACATTCTGTAGCTTGTTCTGCAAAGGAGCACTAAATGAACTGAGTCATTAGCAGCCAGTAACTGTTTAAGAGCCACTCCCAAGTGCATGTGAGTTGTCAACGTATGCAGCGCTCTGGGTTTTGTAAAGTAGGTCAGGCAATGGGTCAGTCTGGAGGCCAGTCAGTAAAATATGCAAGAAGTTCAGAAGCAGGTTGCAGTTTGATTAGGGAGGCAGGCACACATTCGAGTGCATGGTTCAGTCAGTGAAATATGCAGCTAGATCAGTTTGTTTTAAAAGGCACTTGAGGTCTGAGCCAAAACCTCACTGAGTCAGAGGAAAGACTTCCACTGACTTCAGACAGCTTTGGATCAGGTCCTTCGTGAAGTCTGTTCCTGGAGGGCATCGTGGGGATGGGAACCGAGATGCCTTAGGGCTTGCCTACACTTGCGAGTTACTGCGCTGTAAAGCCTCCCCCAGCGCTGTAAATCACTCCCCGTCCACACTGGCAGGGCACTTGCAGAGCTGTATCTCTCTCGGTACACCGCTGCAGGTACTCCACTTCCCCGAGAAGCATAAGAGATACAGCGGAGTGGCTACGACTCTCCCCTGTGAGTGTGTACCAGGAATCAACCTTGCAGCGCTGTACTGATCACTTTGTCAAGTGGCCAATCCTCTCCATTGTTGTGACCGGCGGCAGGAATGCTGAAGTGCCGGTTTCAAAGCTCGTACCACGGAGAAAAAGCAAACCATTTGCTGTTTGCTTTGAGTGAGTGAATGAATGAGCAGGGAGCCGGGAGTTCGGAACTTGCAAAATAGAGTACTGACACGCTCCAAAAAGCACTCTCTCTCTCCACACACGCCCTGTCACACTCCACCCCACACCCCCGTTTTGAAAAGCACGTTGCAGCCACATGAATGCTGGGATAGCTGCCCATAATGCACCGCTCCCAACACAGCTGCAAATGTTGCAAGTGTGGCCACGCCACTGCACTGGCAGCTGGCACTGTGGACAGACTGCAGCGCTTTTCCCTACTCAGCTGTACGAAGACAGGTTTACCTCACAGCGCTGTACAGCTGCAAGTGTAGCCAAGGCCTTAGTCTTCAGTGGCAGCTCATAAGTGACATCACTGCTGGTGAGAGATGCAGAAAGCTAGAATCAAATTAAAGACAGTCACCGGAAGCATCAACTTTTAGAGGAGGTCAAGAAGCAGCTCCTTGCCTGATCATGTTCCTCCCCCGAGAGATTACAGAGGAGTTGGGCACCTAACAGAGAAAAATAAACCTGTGTTTAAAATCAGTTCAGTTCACTGTGGCCATCTTCGCGGGGTCTGTGTTCACAGCGCAGGACTGCATGTGCAGAGCAATGCAGAGGTGTGGAGAACGCACTTACTTCCACACCATTTGGGGTGTGAACTGCAGACTCTCCCTATGCGGTGAGGAGAGGGAGTTACAAGGGAGAGAGATAAAGGCAACACCAGGAATGACTGCACTGTGCAGCACTGAAGGCCACAGTCAGCAGCCTGCCAGGAGTTGCCATGCCAACTGCTTGATCCTGGAAGGTGATCACTTTTCTCATAGAAGTCAGAAGTTGCTGAGGGGGGGATTTATTTTCAAAAATCACCTAAGTGTGCAAAGTTCATGTCTTTCAGTGGCACTGGTGTGCCTAAGTGAGGTGCTTTTGAGAATCCAACCCTGAGTGCTTAGCACCTTTCAAGATTGGGACTCTGATTTGCGCAGGAATTGTTGCACACTCTTAAAAACCAAAATGAAATGCACCCGGCCCTATCTGCTGGTGCTTGTACAGTATCTGCTTTGCTTGTTTAGTTTCACCAGTGATTAATACTATAAGTGATCAACTGAGGCCCCTGAGTCCTAGTGTCCTACTACAACTACAACATGTGTGATGGGAGAGATGTTATCCCTGCCCCTTCCTTCGAGGAGTAGAGATGATGTGTATTCAGCTAGCCATTTTTCCTCTAGGTGGTCAAGATGTCTCTGATAACTATAAGTTCCCCACCCACTGATTTATTACAGTGTCTTAAAGGGACACTGCTGGGTTTGGCAGCCCCACATTAGCTTGCTGTAAAGTATGTGATGGGCCTGATTCTTGTCCCAGGTTGACATTACATCAGTGCAGCTCCATGGACATCTATAGAGTTGCTCCTGATTTACACCTGTGTATGTGAGAGGAGAGGATCAGGCCTCCCTAGGCATGTCTTGCATTGTCCAAGCTCTCATCTGCTGACCAGTGGCCGGTCTCTTATTCACTCTCATTCATTTATTTGTGTAGATTTTGGAGCGGACGCTGGAACCAGACAGTTCGGATGAAGAGCCTCCTCCTGTCTACTCGCCCCCTGCCTATGATATGCATGTCTTTGACCGGCAGTATCCACAAGCTCCACCGAGCCCCCCTCCCAGGTAAGAGCCACAGTGTGGAGTCCACCCAGCATGAGTCCACTACCTCGCAGGAAAGAGCCAGGAGCAAGCTTGTTCTGGGTTACAGTAATGGGGAGCCTCTAGTGTTGGGGTCACACTCTGAATCTCTGAAAGGACACTGTTGGGGTGGAGAAAGTGCATTTCAAGATGTTTATCTCACTGCCTGTAGTTTCCTTTTATAGACTGGAGTGGATTTGTTTCCTTAACAAAAGGTTTTGTCTCCCACCCATATACAAGTGTGCTTGGGAATGCCAGGCTATGCATGTTGACTTGCTGCTATGGGGATAGTTGGGAGGGTCGGGCCACATAGGCTGGCGCATTGCTGAGCTTGAAATGGTAGTGAATCAAACCCACAGGATTAGGAACACCAGTTCATAAAAATGAAGCAAGCTAGTAGGTAACAGAAACATCAGGCTGCTTTCTTTTGGGGCTAGTGATGATGTTGTGTACACTGCCTTGTGGAGGAGGCACTGGTGACTAAGAGAAGTGTGAAGCACTAGTGATGGGGATTCTGATAGCTCCAGGAACCTCTCCTCCTCAGTGGGGATGTTTACGACAGGAGGGCAAAAATTGGAACCATTTATCTTTGAGCCTGATCTTTGCAGGAGGGGCAGGATGGGTCTGGATCTAAACCGCACCAGACGCAAAATCAAAACCCGGATGAGCAAAGTTTAGTGCAATTGCAGCACAAATTTTTTCACCCTTCCTGTAGTCAGTAGGTTTTGATGGAATGTTCCACCAGAAGGTGTGAAAGACTGTCCTGCAGCCTACTCCCTCAGGATAGAAAGCTTAGCATGAATGGAAAAGAACCATCCTTTCTCCTGTATTGCTAATTAGATGGGCTTGCACACCATTCAATACACTGTCCTTGCTGCTGTCTGCCATATATTCTATTTCACCATGTTGCTTTGGCCAGAGGTTGAGAGTTTTTGAAGGGCAGATGCGCCAGACACATTCCAAGGCGGCACAAATGGCTTCGCTGCGTTTTGGCTGGCCTCTTGTGGGGTCGGCTGGAGAGAGTTAATTAAGATTGGGTGAGATAAAGCCAGAGGGGATGAATGAAGATCACAGCTGGGTGAAAATGCCTGCAAGGCTGTAGAAACCCAACAGCTGAAAGGCCCAAAAAATAATTCGTGGATTGAATGGAATGTCAAAAATTAGCTAAAAGAGGTGAGCTGTTGTTTCATCTAAACAACAGCAGGTGGTTTCTCTCATTGAGCCTGTTGCTATTCATCACTGAAAACGAAGAGATTTTATAGTCAGAAAATCTAGAGTAACAGAGATGGTGGCGATAGAAATTGCACATATGTCTTTAAATGTAGACAGCCCACTGCATTCCTCAGGCACTAAAGCCAGACTTCATTCATTGTTCAATATGTCCTAGCAATCAGTTGTCACATACTCAGGAGTAAAATTTGACCATAACCTGACATGCCGCGCTTGCTGGGAACACCCGAAAATTAAGATCTCTTCCTGTATCGCCATGATGCAAAAACTATCGGGAACCTCCTGGGGAGCAGATCCTTTGGTCCTTCATACATCTGACTCTGGTGTCTGCTCCAGCTGAAAACTGCTCTATGGTCTGGGGTGAAGCTGCTACGCTTAGGTTGTCTACATGGAACTGAATTTGGCCACTTGTATTATTAGTGGCTGCTTGAATTAGGTCTGCAGTCTGTGTTAGGGCACGTTGTTCTGGCAGACCTTCGACAAGATGCCATGACTGTCAAGTCTGCCTGGAGAGCTGTGACAGGTGAAAATCAACCGATTTACATTTCCGGATAACTGATGCCCTATTTTCAAACAGGAAACAACTTGCAGTGCCAACTCCAAGTTCTGCTTACATTCAGGGGAGGAATTCCACTCCTGCAGATGGGTGTGAGAGACAGTGGCTGATCTCTTGACACTCCTTTGCCAAAGCAGCTCACCCACTGCTGGAGAGGAGTACTACTGGCCCTTTACCATGTGTGGATAGTCAGCACCACAAGGCAGCTGAAAACTAGGTTCTTACAGAGTGGAAGCATCGGTGGGAGAGAGTCTAACACACTGAGTAAATTCAGGAGTCCATCGCTGCACCTGCCTCCTTGTCCACTTAATCGTAGATCCTGGACCAGCCTCAACAGGGTTACGCTCTGGCTCATCCAGAGTAGCCGCAACCATAGACAGGCACGCATTTCCTCCTTGTGCTGTGACTGTGGAGCAGTATTGCAGACAATAACTCATGTGGTGGAAGTGGGCCCAACCCAACATCTGGAGGGTGGTTTACCCCTTGCCTCCTATGATACAGAGGCTATGCTTTGCTTACGAACCTGGACTGAGCTCTGTCATCTGCATATGAGAGGAGGAGGAGCAATCACTAAATTGTACTGTGGATTAGACGAGCTTATAGTGAACTGGCCAGTAGGTATGTTCAAGTTGTAATAGTTGTCCACTGACCTAGTAGATATGGTGGAATCAAAAGTGCTAAATGGTGTAATGAGCCCTATACTGCTGAGACTCATTGAGATTCTCCCTTAGCTCGGCTGGAAGAGGCTTGGTCTTCTGGAGCAAGAGGATCCAAATTTTATCCCTCTTGTTGCTGTGATGTTCTGAGTGGCCGTGGGATGTGTATCACTGTGACAGCTGGGGAGTTCCAGCTGGTCCGGGATTTGATAAATTTTCATAGAGCATAAGGCCAGAAGGGATCACTAGATCATCTGAATATCATAGGCCATTAAACTTCATACATTTACCCTGCATTGAGCCCAGTAATTTTGCTTGGCTAAAGCCTATCTTCCAAAAGGCATCCAGACTTAATCTGAAGACTCAAACCACCACTTCCCTTGGTAGTTTGTTCAAACTTACTGCTAAAAGTGGCCTGTTTTCTAACTGAAATTTATCTGGCTTCCGCTTCCAACCATTGTTTCTTATTCTGCCTTTCTGACCTAGATGAAAAAGCCCTTTTGTAGCTGGTATTTCTCCCTGTGAAGGCACTTAAATATATATTACATTTGTGGTGTCTTTTCTGTCTCTAGTTTCCATTATTCTGTGATATACTAACAGGCTATCCAGTGCATCTAGGCTAGAAAAGCTTAGTTTTCCCCATAAAGCATAATACTGACATATATATATATGTGTGTGTGTGTGTGTGTGTGTATGTATATATGTGTGTGTGTATGTATATATGTGTGTGTGTGTATGTATATATATATATAAAATAGAGATGATCAAATAGCTTATCAGTGCAACCACACACCTGTTTGCTATATACTGTAACTCTGAAATCGCCTTTTTGGAATACCAGTGGCTGTCCTCCTGGGTTTCCGCACAGAGGTGCCAGCACATTACTGACCTGAGGGCAGCCTTGACAATTGGCAGAGAGCCCAAGGGCTGCGCCTGGTTTGTACAAAATGGATTTATCCAGCTAGCTCATCTTTCACCGTGAAGGCGGCACGGGGCCCGCAGGTTTTGACCCAGCATTGTGTGCTGGGATCTGTAGTTGGGTTGGCCCTTCTCTGCTGGTTCAATAAGATCTGCAGCTGCTAAGGAGGCTGGCTTAGGAGAAGCAGGCTCCCCTAGAGAGTGTGGCTGTGAAGGGTCAAGTGATGCAATTCACTGATGTAGAATTGTCCTGGGGGTGGAGGGAGAAATATGCTCTCCCTGTTCCTTTAGTCAAACCCAAACACTACTTGATTCTTCTCTGGCTGATTCCTGCTGTCCCTCTGGCGCCTCTGCAGGATGGGTACAGTCAGAATTTGAAAGGGAAGTTCCAAAGTGGGAGTTGCCTGGGAAGAGGCTTTTATTTGTTTTCTTCCCCGTGTGTAAGTAGTAATGAAGACATGAACATTCACACGCAATCATCGTCGCCTCCTGCCACTTCTGCTGACTTTTATGCTTCACTGCAAGCCCTGAAAATAAAATCCACAGCTCCTGAGCTGTTAGAGAAAGCAATAAGTTCTTTCCACGTCAGCACGAAATCTGCCAGAGTGGAGCTCCTCACCTCCCACCTCCCTCCTCATCTCTTCTGCGCCCTGCCAGCTTTGTGCCTTCTTTCAAGCTGCCCTGTACTCCTCTCAATTAACGCACACCGGGCCCCCGCTGCCCCTCCAGCTTCAAACAGCTCCTGGAAACCTGATAACTAAGAGCATCCAGACTCCGCTCTGCGTTTGTTCTCAGCGTTCTGCCTGCCTCCCGGTGCCTGTGCGTTGTTAGCTCTTCAGGACAAGGATTCAGTTCTTTGAGCAGTGCATCTTGCTTTGGGTAAAGCACCTTGTATGCTGACTTTGACCAATAAATAATAACTTCTCCTGGGAGGCTGTTAATTGGGGAAATCCTTGACACAGAGGCCAAGCCTGTCCCACATGTGGGGAGATTTGGAGTTTGGGGTGGGAGGGGAGGAGATGAAGATCCCAGAAGAAACTCCCTCCCCCTGAAAATGCAAAATAAAAGAAGCCAATTTCAAACTCCCAGAAATGCAGGCAGCACCACTCTAGCAGTGGGTTCGATTAGGCTGTGGAATAGCCTCCCCAAGGAAATGGGGTCCAGTGCTCAGGGTGTTTAAAACTAAGCATTAGGAAAGATACAACCGGGGGACAGTCCTGGTCGTGGTGACCTAATGGGTCTCTTCTGTGTCTGCGTTCTGTGATTCTGGGGAATGCTCTGGCAAATAGCCCCATCAGAACTCCAGAAAGAATTGACCAGTGCAAATGAAAGCATTAACAGACTGATAGGCAAGAAATGGCTGAGCAGGAAGGTCCCATGTCACATTATCCGAGTGTACATATAGGGGAAGATAGAAGAAATGGTGAGCAAGGCATGGTCTGTGCACCCAGAATGTGATAAAGGGCTGAGGATACAGGCTACCCATGTACCCAGACTGCCTGCTGTGATGGGTTAGATCACGGAAACCCCCTTGGGACTGCCATCTGATGTGTTGAGACTACCTCTGAGCCCGTTTTCCCTGACAGGAAACCTTGCCTTGTTTGAGCCAGACACGCTTGCCTGCTGCAAACACAGGCCCTCGGTCTGAACAACATCCCCCAAAAGCTGCAGGCTTAACTGAAAACAGCTTAAGAAGTGTTCCTGTCTCCAACACCCAGAGGCCCAGTTCCTAATGAGGTCCAAACCCCAAATAAATCCATTTTACCCTGTATAAAGCTTATATGGGATAAACTCATAAATTGTTTGCCCTCTATAACACTGATAAAGAGGTATGCACAGCTGTCCCCCCCCACCCCCCCGTATTAATACATACTCTGGGTTAATTAATAAGTAAAAAGTGATTTTATTAAATACAAAAAGTAGGATTTAGGTGGTTCCAAGTAATAACAGACAGAACAAAGTGAATTACCAAGCAAAATAAAATAAAACATGCAAGTCTTAACTTACAGTAAAGAAGTGATTACAGATAAAATCTCACCCTCAGATGTTTCAATAAGCTTCTATCACAGACTGGACGCCTTCCTAGTCTGGGCACAATCCTTTCCCCTGGTACAGCCCTTGTTCCAGCTCAGGTGGTAGCTAGGGGATTTCTCATGATTGCTGCCCCCTTTGTTCTGTTCCACTCCCTTATATATCTTTTGCACAAGGCGGGAATCCTTTGTCCCTCTCTGGGTTCCCACCCCTCCTTCTAAATGGAAAAGCACCGGGTTAAAGATGGATTCCAGTTCAGGTGACATGATCACGTCACTGTAAGACTCCAAGCCCTCATTCCTCCCAGCCTGACTGACAGGAAGGCCTGCAAGCAAACAGAGCCATCCACTGTCAATTGTCCTGGTTGATGGGAGCCATCAAGATTCCAAACCACCATTAATGGCCCACACTTTGCATAACTACAATAGGACCTCAGAGTTGTATTTCATATTTTTAGTTTCAGATACAAGAGTGATACATCTATACAAATAGGATGACAACACTCAGTAGATTATAAGCTTTGTAATGATACCTTACAAGAGACCTTTTGCATGGGGCATATTCCAGTTACATTATATTCACACTCATTAGCATATTTTCATAAAATCGTATAGAGCGCAACGTCACACCTGCCATCCGCATACAGCACTGATAGTGATGCCTATGGTGCTGTCAATTCACATTCACAGGTTCCATTTGCAGCCTGTGTTCTTCACCCATTGCTGACAGATTTGACATGCCAAAGAGTCGGCTGCAACTTCCAGCCTTACAGCAATTCAGTGGTAGGTTTAGCGCAGAGCCGGTCAAAGGACTTCTTGGTTAGTGATTTGCCTTCTGCTCTGTAGTGGCCATTACAACACTGCAGGGGTCACTTCCATTTGGCTCTTGAACTTCACCCTCTGGCCAAATCTAACCGTCAGCAGTTACCCCACAGGGGCTTGTTTTCCATCCTCTTTCAACGGGACTGAAACAGACAAAACTTCACTTTATGTTATCCTTAAAGGTTGCCATACCCAGTCACACCACTTGGCTTATCAAGTCTTGTATCCTGCCTCAGCTCTGGCCCTATGCCTGAGGGTTTTAAGGAAGCAAACACTGCCCTTCTCTTCTCTTCCTCCCCTCCGCAAAGGAACGCTCCCGGGCAGTTATGCAATGCTGCACTTTGTGGGGTTGAGTGGGTGTGATTTACATAGTTAAGGCATAGCCCTCTCAGTGTTGCCAACACCAACACAATGTTTGGTGATTTTCTTAAACCTCAGCTCCTTGTGTCATTATCTGAGAATCTTGAGTAACAAAACAAAGTGTCAGGTTTCAGAGTAGCAGCCGTGTTAGTCTGTATCCGCAAAAAGAACAGGAGTACTTGTGGCACCTTAGAGACTAACAAATTTATTAGAGCATAAGGAAACAAAGTGTAAATGTCCAGCAGAGGAAAGTTTGAAAATGTGATGACACCAAAAGGCTCAAAAACTCTACGGCAAATAAAAAGAACCCCAAATTAGTTACTTTAAAAAAATGTTTAAGTCAAGCTTGTGATTTTGGGGGGAAAGGAGATGATGGCTGATGTGATTTTTTGAATGCTTGAGGTGGGCCCTCAATTCCTAGTCAAGTCAGTGGGAATCGAGGGCACTCATACCTTGAGGAGCTGGGTTCTTAGAGTTTGCAAAGTGAGCCAGAATGCTGAAATGATTGCTTTCTCATCTCGGTGTCTTTTTTTCCATGGCCTACAGGATTGATGTACCCAATTCGAGTGGCCCTCAGGTGCACAGACGGTACAGGAACTGGAATCCACCATTACTAGGCAACCTTCCTGATGATTTCCTTCGCATTCTACCCCAGCAGATGGACAGTGTGCAGGTGGGCGGAGAATATGTTCAACTATATAACACCTAGACTCCTTATGGTGACAAGTTCAAATCCTAGCAGGGCTGGTTCTGTCCTTCATCTTTCTGAAGTAGATTCACTGAGCAGTGCATAGATTACCATGAAGGGGCATTTCCAGTGAAAACCTAGTGATGCTGTGAGATTAAATTCATCCCAAAATGTAAGATGTGCCAAAATAAAATTTTTTACAAACCTGTAGAAATATCAGAACTTAAAATTCAGCTATCAGCCTTTTCCTATAAGGTTTACAACCCTAACTTTGCAGCAGGTGTGGCCTTTTAAGTATAGACAAGCCCTCTGGCTTCCAAGATGCATCATGGCAATTTTCATAGGAGTAGGCATTTGACTGGGCGTCCCTGCCCAAAATTTCCCTTGTCCCCCTCTATTATACAATATGTTGCAGACTGGCTGGCTGCTGCCCTCCTACCCCAGAGGTAAGCTTCATTTTAATGGTGCCATATAAATTAGGGTTTGTGAACTGCCTTTGGACTTCAGCATCAATACTTCCTTAGCATGGTCCTAAAACTCTATATTTGGGCATCTCACAGTGTATCAATTTATGCATCTTGACAGAGCTGCAATAGGGAGTTGTCTCCTGCAAGAAGCAAGATGACCACTGAGCGAACTACTCTCAGACCTAAATGCAAAGCTTATTTCTTCCACTTAGCTTTCCCACAGTATTTTCTCTGCCCACCCAACTCCCATGTATATAAACAAGCAAACAAACCCAGACCTTAAGATGTCTCTCCTATAGGCTAGGAAAGGCGAGACAGAAAATGCAATGAAGGGGGCCAAATTGTAAGTACCCAGTTAGACAGCTAGATTCTTCCCTTCCCTTTTGGCTCCGAAGGCACTTCTGCCACAGTTTCATAAATTATTCATCTTCTCAGGCTATATTACCTTTCTGGGAATAGAAAGCTGCCTGTTCACTGGGCTCTGGGGGAAGAGATGTCCTGGTGCCTTTTTCCTTCCTCAGGAATTGTAGGCTATTGCTTTTTATGGCCCTCTGAGACCAGATACAAATCAGATAAATATGGTAGGCAAGGTGAGATTGCTACTGGATGGAATGTTTCTCCTCCTTCCTATTTTACATGCACAGATACATGCACGAGCAGGGAAATGAGATATAGAAGATGTTAGGATTTGTCTCAGATAGTGGAATTTGTCAGATGGTAAATTGCATTTTCAGCCGTTAGTTGGGGAAAATAAAAGCTGTGCCACTTCGGCTTCCCTCAGTGAGAGGCTTTGCACTTCTCCCCATGTCAAAGCCAGGTTCAGCCCTGGTTTGATGTTGATTTAGCCATCAGAAGAACGCTGATGATTAATTCTTGTATTTAAAGTGAGGCTCTGACTATAAAAGTAGTTTCATGGGATCATTGTGACTTTCTGATTTCCAGATTAGATGTTCTCAGATTCCAAGTTAAAAAGAAAAAACACGAACTTTTTCTCCCCAGTAGCCAGCCCTGCTGACTTAGCCTGAGATCTGAGCGTCAAGCTGGGTACTTTCCTTTTCACACATTACTAGCAATAAAGCCGGGCCAAACTAAGCCCTCATTGACTCCCATGGTGTAGCCTGATTGCCTTCAGTAAGTTTGCACATGTGTAATTGATTGGAACTTGGTAAATACTTCTATTGATGATGCTCAAGGAGGAAGAGAATCTAGCTCACTATCCCACAGCTGAGTTGGCTCTGCTGGGCTGGCTGAGAAATACAGCCAAGGAAAAATGTATGCACCATATAGTCAGCATATCTGCTGCTGATTTTGCTTGGGAGCAAATATGCTGGGGAAGAGAGTGCCCTTTTCACAGTTGCTTTTCCCAGTAGAGATTTTCACTTTAACCAAGATCAGGGTTGAAGCCCTTTGGTAAGGCTGAATTACAGAGGGGAGTACAGCCTGCTGTTGACCAAACTGTGCTGATTCTGTTGATAGATGGGGACCTTTAATCTTCAATATTGATATTCCAGCACCTTTCACAAGAGTTTAAAACCTTGATTCAGCAAAGCACTTATGCTTCAGTGTCATTGAAGTCATTGGGACTTAAACACAGGCTCAAGTGCTTTGTTGAATCCCGGCTTACAGTCACACACACTGGTTACTGTAATGAGCTGCTCAAGGCCTTCATTGACTCTTCCTTTATGTCACACGCTTGTCCAGAGTTCACAAAGTTGCCATCAGACTGTGCCGGGCGAGGGCAGCCAGAGATCCCAGGGCACGTTGGACCAAGAGAGGAAGTGGAAACAGTACCTGGAAGATGAGCGAATTGCGCTCTTCTTACAGAACGAAGAGTTCATGAAGGAGCTCCAGAGGAACCGGGATTTTCTCCTGGCCCTTGAGAGAGGTGATAAGCCATTTCAGAGACTTCTGTGTATGCTTTTCATGTGCTTGAATTCCTCCTTTGCTGCAACTTCCAGCCCTTAGATCTCATTTTCCATTGCCCTACACCTTGTGTCATCATTTACACCAATACAAAATGAGTGAAAAATGCAACTACAGCACAATGGCAACGTTTTCCTCCCATGTTGCACTTCTGCTGCATTGGTGTAAATAACCTGAGGGTGCAGTGCTATGGAGACTCAGACCCATTGGAAGCTGATGGCAGGGGCACTTTCTGTTCCTGCTAGCCTGGCTTGGGAGTCTTGCTCATGGGTCTCCTAACTCTGCAAAGTCCTTCCATCTTCCCCACCAGTTAATACCCCTTTCATGACCATCAGACCTATAGAAGCATTGGGTGAAATCCTGGCAAAACTCCCCTTGACTTCCGTGAGGCCACGAATTTCATCTGTTGTCCTCTGATCCCTCCTCCCACCTCTTCCGAAAGACCTAGACAAAACACTCCATCAGCTGTGATTGGTCTCCAAAGGTTGGGCTTTATCATTACATCCTTGTTCCCCCTCCGCCGATATTGCTGTTTTGATTATTTCCCTTTTAACCCTCCCTGCCTACAAAAAGGATAATTCTACTAGGGTTTGGTATATGATCACCTCACTCTTTTAGCATTGTAACCTCTGTCACTGTAAAATACTGCTGGGTTTCCCAGAACTTCTCACCACCTTCTGTCTAGCGTCTCTTGCTAGCTGTTCTCAGCAGCTTTTCTGATGACACTACAAGGAGAAGTTCAGTGGTTTTGGTGACTTGAGGTCTCTTGAATTATGTGCCAGCCCCTTGCCAGTTCCTCTCTGCTCTGTCACTTTAATTCTGAACACACAGGCTAATATATTCCCATCTGGCTTATCTCACCAATCATGGTATTTGTCACTCACAGGTCTCACTCTTGGTTTGGGAAAGCTCATCCTAATGCCTTAATTTAAATGCTCAGCCTCCTGTCCATCACAGCCAGAAAATCAGCTGCTCACTTACGATTTTCATTTTCTCTCCTTTGCCATGGTAAGACTAGCATTTTCCAGCCTGCTTCTCTAATCTCTGTCATTAAAACATGGGTGGTGCATGAAGCTTAGGTGAATGAATAGAAACCACAAAATACAACACAGTGTCACTCCTAGATGGTGATTAAGGGCCATGTGATACATTTCATTCATTGTGCATCTTAGACTGCCTTGCCTTCAGCTCCACCTTGAATCATCTGCCCCAGGCCTGCTCCAATGTTCTGAACCTCTGAGCAGCTTTGGACAGACAGCATTCTTTGTTTTCAAAAAGCAGTTCAACAGAGAAATATTTCCATCTTTCCATGAATAACTGGGATTGCCCCTCAGTGTTACACTAGCCCTATGTGTTGGATTGCCACTGTTACTTCTTCTGAGAGGTTTCAACTGGTGCCTTATACTATTGATTGAATACATATATAGTGAATATATGTTCAGTATATATAACATAAGTAGAGAGAGGTGCACATGCTGAGTTAACGTGGCTACTGGTACCTTGCCTGACTTTTTACTGAACATTGCAGTAACACAACTTTCTGTACAAAATAAATGCACGCACACACACACTGTCCAACAGGTCCACCCAGCCTTTGAAATACTCTTTCTGGAGCAGTGTTCTTCAAGTGAGACTACAGCCCAGTGCGTTTTGCACCTCTCAAAGATGTTCATACCCACTGTGCTCTAGTTGTCTGATCCTTTCAGAGGAACAGTTGTAAAGGAAATGGGATTGCATTTGTTGCTTGACTGCCTTGTATGTTGGTTTTGAAGGGGTCTGAGTTTATACTCTGGGGATTGGGATATGGAGGCACAGAGTTACCACCAATTAGCTTTATGCTTTACATGTGCAGAACGCTAGCATTCGGAGCCTGCGGCAGTGTTGGGGGCACAGTTCACTTCCTCTCTTGATTTCTCAAGCATTGTGATTTCTCAAGCACTTTTCCTCTGAGGCAGAGGGACACAGTGGAGAGAGCATGTGCTATCCAGCGCAGCAAAAAGACTGGAAAGCACTTGCCCAGTTTTCTTGTGCTATCACTTATTGCCAGCTTGGATCCCGCTCCTCAACAGAACAGCAGACAGCACTTCAGACCGTGTTTGCTCACTTTGCTGACAGATGGAACCCAAAACAAAGCAAACCAGGCTGGGACTGCAAACTTGGAGTAGGCAGCATTGAGGTCTAGCTTAACTGCACTGCTTCAAAACAAAGCTGCACATTTGGGATCCAGATCTCAAATGCCCCCATAGTTTTGGATTAGAAAAGAGCCGTCAGCCCAAGGGTCTTTATTCAGCCTCACTATAAAGAGAGGTGCCTATCTGCAAAATCTGACCCTGAATCTTGATTTAACATACCCAGCATTAGAAGATGTGTTGATCTGGGGTTGTGATATGTCTTTGAATCCATTTTTTCAGAAGCATGAATATCTTCTTCTGACGCCATCAGAGATGCATGCAGTTAACAGACACGAGGATTATTACCCATTAGTTTTTAATCTTTTCCTGACAAGAGTTGTCAGCTTTTGAAAGTAAAACCATACAAGCCAATTTCTTTAAGTGTATTTCATCGTGCTGGTGACACACCAAGTTTCTGAAAATGCTCTCACAAATCATACCTCATTAAGTCCAGTCACAATATATGGCAATTAATTTCAGCTCACGCTATACTTTGGGCCTGATTGTCCAGAGTGCTGATCACCTGCAAGTTCCTATTGACCTCAGATGGAGTCGGGATACTCAGCATTTCTGACAATCAGGATGCTCTTAATTGGGTGCCCACATGTGGATTTAGATGTCTGCCATTTAGAAACCTAAGTCTGAGCATTTTTTGCCTTAGTTGATTATATTAGGATGGTCACATTTTTGTGCTATTTCTTTTCCATTCAAAAACCCAGCCTCTGGGTGAAGCAGATGCTTGCTTAGTGATTTGGATTCAACTGAGCCCAGCCAGCCCAATTGACTTCCTGTTTTTAACAATGCTATTGGTGGGTCTCAGTCCCGACTCCCGGCTATCCAGCCTCACAGTGTGGTCCCTGTAGGGATCAGGCACACTGGCAGAGCAGTGTGGGAAAGCTGGCTCTACTGCCTTCCAGGCTGTACCTACCCTGTGGATGGAGGACTTCAGCCTTCTGGGCTGTCAGTTCTGCCCCTTTCATAAACCATCAAAACAAATTTAAGATTAAGAAAAAAAATTTCCCCTGCTCCTGCCCCTGACTCCCTTCCTCATTCCAGACCTTGTTACACTGAAGCTGTAAAACACCCTTGGCAGTGAGTGCAATGTAATGCCTGGCTAGGTCGAGGAGAATGGAATAAATGATTCAGGGTTCCAGGGCTAATTGAATGTTTTTTATTTTTCAGATCGACTGAAGTATGAGTCAAAAAAATCCAAGTCGACCAGTGTTGCCGTCAGTAACGATTTCAGCTTTTCTTCTATACAACCAGGTAATTTACAAGCCGTGTATGAGCATATGATCACAGAGATCTCCTGGCAGCTGCTCTCGTATTTCTAAGGCTTCTGCCATTGCGTTGTCTGCAGAGGGCCACACTGCGGGTAGGTCTTCGCTGAAAAAAACAAGTGTATTCTAACCCAAATTAGCCAGCTTGGGTTAAAATAGCAGTAAAGATGTGCCAGCTTGGGTAGCAGCTCGAGTTCAGCCCCAGGCTGCTTTATCAGTTTTAAGTCGAGCTGCTAACCCAAGTTAAAAGCTAAGCTGCCGTATCTTTACTGCTGTTTTAACCAGAGTGAAGAACACACCTTTTTTGCAGTGGAGACAAACCTTGTGACATGAATGGCAGAGGTGAAAACCTTCCTTTTGGTGGCTATTGACACCAAGCCCTTTCTCCTCTCCAAAATGTCTTATGTTTGGGGCTGGAAAGGAATTCTCCCCCTGGGGGTATAGGCAGGGACGTTGCGGGAGACTTCTGATGACTGTAAAAATAGTGTGATGTGAGTAGAAGTTATGGGGGAGATTTTCAGAGGCACAAAGGGAAGTTGGGCCAGCCAGTGGGAGTTGAGCCCCTAACTCTTGTCTTTGCTTGGAAAATCTCCCCCTTACGCTTCCTATCCTGCAGCAGAGAATTTCTGTTTTCTCTCAGTTGCCGGAGCTGCTGGGAATGGGCAAAATGACCCAGAAAAGGGTGGCACACCTTTTGCTAGCCTCTTTGCTACTTCCCCTTGCCTACATGACACTGTATTAATAGCGCCTGCGTTGTCACAATCCCTCAGCACTCGCAAAGCTTAGGTTCCAGTCAGGTTGCAATAAGGAGACAGTAAAATGCCGTTTTCTACTCCGCTCTCTCTTCTGCCCTAGGCCTAGAGTCCAGCACATGCCTCGAGCTTTGATCAAATGAAACTTGGAAACCATCATTGCTTCTACACTAGCCCAGGGCTAAAAGAGTCCTCATCATTCCCCTTCCTAGTCCTTTTCTCTCTTGCCACGCATGGCTATGTAGATTTTGCTTGGGAGTGGAGGTAGAATGAAGAGAACTCTGATCTAGTTCCCAAGTATAACAAAACATGCCCTTGTCTAGCCCAGGAGCCGGGGATCATGCCTTGCAGGCATACCAACTATCTGAGTAATCTTGATTAACCTTAGGGACTGCATAGCAGCTGCCCCCAAAGGACAGAATTAGCATTGGTGTCTGTCAGTATCTTCATCTACAGAGCAGGACACAGCGAATGGAGCTATTCATCGAGGCTTGACGTGACGATTTTGGCTAAGGTTACGGAATTTCAGTTGTGCCCAGATTTGATAAAGGGGGTGGGAAACACAAGGATACGATTAACAAGGAGCGGTGACTCACCCAGATCAGCTGCCTGCACTAGTACAGCTGAGACTTCTAAACTTTCTCCATTCTTAATTAACTGTCTGTGTCATCATGGTAATACGAATGATCTTGGAGCATGATCTAATAACCAACTGAGAAATAAAATTAGCAGATTGGGTGACTTGGAATCACTTTCTCTCAAAGAAGCAAGAGGCTTTTTGTTCAGCAGAGGACTTTTTTTTTTTTTGTATGAACAGACATTGATGGATGGGGCCTGATTCTGCAGGGCCTTGAACTTTGTGTAGTCATTTTGCTTTCACTCCTGTGCATCCATTGTGCACAGGAGTGAAAGCTGCCAGGTCAGAGTGGTAGCACCTACAGCTGCTCTGCATTCATTCTGCACAGGTAGCAAAGTTGTAGAGCACTGGAGATTCAAGCCCACAGGCAGGCAGAAATCACCCATAGCTCTGTTGAAATCAACAGAGCCACAGCTGTAATCTCTTATCTGTAACCCTTTTAAAGGGAGGACTGTACTGGAAGCAACTGAATGTGGAGTGTCACTTTGATCCCAAGAGGCCTAGGTAGCACTGTACCTGCTGACCTCCATCCCATCTCCCGCCCAATCTCCCGTCCCCCAGAATCCAGCCTTGTCTGCATCTCACCTGGCTTGTCTCATTGAGACAGAACAGACTATCCCTTTGTGCACTAGGAACTGCTGGTAATTTCTCCCTGGTCTCCATCTTTTATGTGTGCTCTTTTCTTACTCTGTCTTATTCAGACCAGGACAGAGATGCTTACCAGCTGCTTTGTGGCAGGGCCACTGTTTCACTGGAGCTGGAATTGGGTCAATGATGATGATTCAGCTTAGATTCTCCGCACACCCTGCTCCACCCCTACAAACCTCAAGTGACCAGATTTTTGCATTTCAGGTGACATAGCCCCTGTAACCAGCGAGGCCAGCAGTGCTGTGTCTGAAGATGCCTTATTCAGGGACAAATTGAAACACATGGGAAAATGTGAGTTTGTTTCTAGGTTCCATATTGGCAGAGGGAAGGCTGCGTGGCAGTAGGTGGGCAGGCGGAGGAGGTGAAGCAGTAAGGATTCTTTAGCTCTGAATCTAGTGCTAAGGCATTTTTCTGCTAAAGCACTCTGCATGCATGTGTGTGTGTATGCATGTGCAAGCCAGTACCCAGGTATGCACAGATCTGCGAAGATACAGGATTCTTACCTCCCCTCCAAGCCCCAGAAGTTATTCATGTTTGTCAAGCCACCCCATGATTCTAACAGGGCAAGGCACATTTAGCTGGGAGTTGAGCTTTTGATTAGAAGGGGCTTTAATGCGTTGTGCTGTGTAAGGCTGCATTAAGCCTGGCGAAGATGAACTAGGAGTATCAAATAGGGAAATCCAAATTGCACTAATCCATCTCCAAAGCCTGGAGCAGATTGGGGTTTGATTTCCATTTGCCTTCTGTAATCCTGGACTTCTGGGTCCTCTGCCCCACACTCTGCGCCCATCTGTGCTTTCCTTCTGCCCTGGGTGCAGCCCTGGTCAGAGATGGACCAACCTCCCTGTGCCAGTTGTTTCAAACTTATGAGAGAGCTTGGTTTTGAGTAAGCTGCCATGGTAGCAATGCTGGGTGGGAGATGCGTGTCTGACTCCTGGTCTCCTGCTGCCTGTCCAGTGAGTGCCTAGGTGTTGCATTCTGGGTAACCTCAGCAATGTTGTTGATGGGCTTCACAGGAATCCCCCAACCACACTAGCCATGCTAGGCTCATTGCCCTGTTTCTTTCCCAGGCTCACCTTGGTGCAGTGCTGTGCCAGGAATGCCCTCTGCATCCCGAGTCACCAAGCCACTCCCCTTTCCTCAGCACATGCCTTTTCGGGACTCATTCCTCCCACAGTGCCAACAGGAAGGGCGTTAATAAGAAAAGCAAAACTTCAAGATGTTCCTTCCTCTGAGCTTCCCAGCACTTTAATAATAATTGCCTTCCCATAGTACCTGGGAGCCCCCGTCACAGACCAGACCCCCACTGTGCTAAGTGCTGTACAAACAAGAACAAAGGGACAGTCCCTGTCCCCAAAAGCTTCCACTCTAGCCCTGCCTTCCATGTCTCTCTCTCTCCCAGACCGTAAGCTCATTGGGGCAGGGACGGTCTTGTACAGCACTGAGAACTTTGTCAGCACTTAGCCCCATCTGTCTAGGCTGGGGATGAAAGTGGGGATGATACCAGATCTCCAGCAAGCAAATGGGTTAAAACAGTAAAGGGGGAGGGAGGAGGCCATGCTGTAGGCTCCATCGCTCATGAAGAGGGGGAGCAGCACTGCTCCCTGAATGAGTTTGTTCTTCAAGTGGAATCGATTTTTCTTTTCTTCCCACCCCACCCCAAAAGATGACAGATGCGGCTTGGATGGATTTTCTCTGCCACTCGCAGGCAGATCAGTTAGGAGTCTCCTCCAGTAGACAAAGGCGATGAGTGGGGTTTTGCCATTATATAGGTGCTGAAACTGGCTAAATTGCTCGGGCTGCTCTGATATCAGATCTGGCATGCTCCTTCATGCTGCAAGCCTGTGTGTATGCCTGTCTTTGATGTATGTATTGGAGGGCATGACTCTGTAACATGGATTGGATTGGGCTTCCTGGGAATAGAAGCAAATCCTTTCTAGCTTCTGTTTAAATAATAAAATAGAGGCTAGAGAAGGAGGGATTAATAGAGACTCTTCCCACTTTTTTTCTTTCTTTCCAGCAAGCCACAGGCTACTCTCCGGTTGTAAAATAAATTGGGCACCTCATGCAGTTTTGACTGACTCATGGGCCACAGTTTATTTGAGCTTTGTTTAGTGTGAGGGGGAGGGGGGGAGGGAGAGAGGGAATTTGGCTTAGTCATGGATGAAGAATGTCATGGAAATCACAATCAGAAAGTCTGAATAGTCAGACCTTTTGTGTAGTCAATTGAATCCTTCCTGCGGGGATCAAATTATATTCTTTCTGATCATTGAAACTAGTCCTAGTGCCTGGAAAGGTTTATCGGTCCTTGGTTTCCTAAGGCTAAGCAGTAAGGCATTGTGCATTCTGCATTCAAGCAGGCAAATTCATCTTGGTTCAGTCATCCCCTGCCCTGCAGCATATAGAGGGTGAATCAAAGCCCCATCATCCCAAATGGATGGTATGGGAACTGGGCATCTATCATAGTTGTTTGCTATCCACTTTTGATGGCTGGTTAAGAGCAAGCCATTCACCTGCCTGTTTCCTTTCAGCTACACGCAAGAAGCTGTTTGAACTTGCCAGGGCTTTCTCAGAGAAGACCAAGATGAAGAAGTCAAAAAGAAAACACTTACTGAAGCATCAGGTGTATCCTTTCAGCATGTGACGCTGTCATCCCACCCCTTGATCACTCTGAGCTTCCCGGGGATGAGTCCCAGCTCCCACAACTTGGAACAAAACTCTGCTGCAGAGGGCTCGAACGAGGCCTATGCCAGGATTCTCCACCTTGGGGTCATGGAAAAGGTTAGGGGGACACAACCATTCTGACCATCCCATATTTCTCAATGAGGGAGGGGGAATTTTAACAGGATGGGTGGGAGGAGGATCCTGGAGGGAGGATCCTGGCATAGGGAAGAGGTTTCCTGGTATAGACAAGGTGGGGAATCACTGGTCTATGCACCACTTAAATCTCACTTAAGTCCTGAAACTAGGGCAAAGATTTGTGCATGTGGAAGGGAGCTATAGCTCAGGGAGAAAACGATGTCAGTAACCAAAAGGTACATGTTTGCAGCCTTCATGATCCAAGCCACAGCGAACATTCACGGCTCATCATGTATGCAAGTTTGGATCCAGCTCTGAACTTCCCTGAAGTCGTGGTGTGTTTGGAGCTGATATTCTGGTTTGAGCCCAGCTAAGAGGATTCATTTGTTGCTGAAGCCCCCTTGAAACTGTATTTTGTGGGCGGAGTTTCTCTAGTGGCATGTTAATTTCAAAAGCACATGTGCTAAATAATTATCATGCCAGTCCTAGGACACTGCTCAATACCAGTGATGCAAGAGAAACAGTGCTGGCGACTCATCCATCAGTTCTTCCTCCCCTTCTTTTCCATTTTCATTTTAGCTGTTACAAGGATAAAGACCTAGAGGTAAAAGAGCTTTGTTATCCCCAGATTCCTCTCCTTAGGGTGGCTGCGTTAATACTGTCCAAAGTATGTTGCCTTGGTACCTGAGTGCCACTGTCATGGCCTCCCTGATCTGTTATGACCCGGATCTCATGCCAGAAAGCAGCAGAATGCAACTGGAAACATACCTGGGAACCACCTCCAACCCTTGGAGTCAATTGTGATGGCCTGTTTGCAAGTCTGTGACTTACATCCCAGTCTGTCGAACATTTTCCTTAACAGAGAGTGCAGGATGGGGACAGCAGCTTCCACAGCTAATCTTCTCGATGACGTTGAAGGACACTCGTGCGGTAAGACAATGCTTGTTTCTGCTAGAGAGCAAGTCTCCAGCTGATTTGCCCACTGCTGTGGTGTGTGGGGGTATGTGACCGCAAATAGCAGGGGCTGCACACCAAAAATCGAGCTTCCTTCCTTGCAGATTCCTTCCTGCCTGTGACGCTAGCTGTTCAGAATTTGTTCCCTGAGTCGCCCTTTCCTAACGCAAAGAGCTAGCAGGCCTGGCCCATCCCTGTGGCTAATGTAGAGTGAAACAGGAATGGGGGAGCTCTCTCTGCACCAGGAACAGCATGGGGGAGCTCCCCCCTAAGCCAGAGACAGGATGAGGAACTCCCCCCACTTTTTAGCCAGGCTCCTCCCATCTCTCTTCATTTAAAACCTTGTACTGTACAACGGATACTTCTCCACCCGTGTGTTAACTCACCAAGGTATATGAATGAGGTTTGCGGTGAGCAGGCCCTTCCTCCTGGTCCCTTCCCCCATGTGTTCTGGCTGTTCAGTCCCCTGTTCTCTGTTAGTTCAGCTCCTCATCAGATGACGGGATCACCAAGCAAAATGAAGTAGGGCCTCCTTCCCCAAGGGCCTGGAACACCCTCTGTAGGTTCGGGTGGGTAACGCTCGCCATGGCTTTGCAACGGGCGTGCATACATTTAACGCAGGGGTTCTCAAACTGGGGGTCGGGACCCTTCAGGGGGTCATGAGGTTATTACATGGGGGGGTCGCGAGCTGTCAGCCTCCATCCCAAACACAGCTTTACCTCCAGCATTTATAATGGTGTTAAATATATTAAAAAAGTGTTTTTAATGTATAAGGGGGGGTCGCACTCAGAGGCTTGCTGTGTGAAAGGGATCACCAGTACAAAAGTCTGAGAACCCCTGATTTAACGGAAATGTAACCCGGTGGTGAAAGGTGTTGCATCAGCAGCCCCGAGACCTGAAGTCCACGATTTGTCTATAGGACAGCACATCAGCAGTGGTCTCTTCCCCGACCCAGGAAAAGCACCACAAGGGGTGAGCGGGGGTACAGTCTCCATAGCCCAGTCACACCAAGGCCCATCTGCTGAGGCAGCCAACCAAGGTGCCAGATGCACAAGTGGGCATTCATGCAGTAGGAAATGGGCTGATACCCACCTACTCATTTCACGTAGGACATTGAACTGCCATTTAACAGTAGTGGTTTTGTTCACTGCTAGCCTGGGGCAGGTTTGAACCAACCAGTGACCCAAGAATGACAGCCACCCATATCCTTCTGTAATTCCCAGCCCCTTCCAGTCCCCTGACACTGCTGCAGTTTTCCCACCCCAGCTCGTTTAGATATGGGAAGGATCTCCTGAAGTTCTGACCACACAGGTCTGTCTCATGCCTTTCAGATGAGGATTTCCAAGCAAGAAGGCAGCAGCTACACGAGGAAGAGGAGAGGCCGAAAGAAGGACAATAAATGGTAAGAAGTGTTTGGGGAGTAATGTGCAGATAGTTACAGGAATCAGTTCAGCTATCCTGTTGCAAGCCCATCGCCACCCCTTTCCCCCCCCCCCCCTATGAGTTGAGTGATGTAGATTAGACCATTGGGCCAATGGACAAAGTGCCAGCCTAAGAAAATTCAAATGACCCGTTGCATGCTGTCATGGAGAAAACAAGTAGCTTGAGCTTTTTACCCCTGGTGCTCCAATGCAAAGTTGGATTCAGCTGTTTGTTCTTCCCTGGCTTTCCCAGGATGGATTACTTCCTCTTGTTTCAGCTACAGCTGATAGCACCGGCCCCACAACATCTTTGATGACTTAGGGTGAAAATCACAGTGCCTCAGAGAGGATGTGTGGAGTTTTGTGCTGTGTGTTAAGGATCTAGGTAGGTCTTTGTGCATAAAGCCTTGCACATGGGACTTGCATTGGGGTGAATGTCACCCACAGGGACTTATTCTGCCATTGTTGTTCACACGTCTGCCCCTTCAGCCCCATTAATAGCTGCTGTGTGGATAGCAACAGGTACTTTGACCTTTGTACTGAAGAATGTAAGAGAAACTGTTGGGCCAATTCTTCCCTGTTGTTTGCCCTCCATGAAGAACATATGTGGGTGGACTCAGCATGAGGTTACTGATGAAAACCATGCAGAGGCTCCAGTATTCATGCCTGCCTCTTACTGAACTTTGATGCACAGGGAATCCTTATGGGTTGGTTTAAAAACATCCAGTGCACAGTGACAGGCTTTGTTTCAGCACCATGAGTGAAGCAACTTTGACTGAATATACTTTTTCCTCTCCCCCTCCCTGTCCTTCTCTTCTAGATCCCAGATCCATTGCCTGAACTGGGCTTTATTTGTTAAAGTCTTAAGAAGAAGATGGCTGCAAAGAAAAAACAATTTCCTTGGCTCCCCCCACTATCATCCTCTTCTGAAGTACAAGTATTAAAGTGAGGCACAATTTTCTCTTCCCAGCGGGTTTGAAAACACTTCTTTCCTATCCAGCAAATCCAGCCAAAAATCAGCAGCTGATCTGAATTTTTCTCAGTCACTGCAGTGAAGATAACGGATTTCAAGCTTGTGGGAATAATGGCCTATCCCCCACCCTCTTTGATATAAACATGGTTTGGATATGAATTAAAAACAATAATAACAATACATTGAACAGCTGGGCTCTGGCTTGCCCATTTTTAAACATATCACTGTAGCAATCTGATGTAACTTTACGCACATAAAAAAAGACCTGAAAAATGTTGTTTATTGTTATTGTTCTAAGAGTTAATAAGCCAGGATCCAGATCAGGTAATAGGCAGGATAATATAAATTGTCTTTTTAAAAAGAAACGGCCTTCTCCTGGGCATCTCACATTGAATTAAACCTTTGCCTCAGGCACTGATAAAAATGCCTTGAACTAGACACCAAGCTGGGGCCAGTTTCTCCTCCAATGTACCACTTTCTCTAGCTTTGTGCTGCTGCTCTTGTGATATTATGGTACCTTTACAGAGCAGGAATGGGGGGGGCGGGGGAGGGCTGAATTTCAAAGCTGTTTAGTTCTCACTGCTGATTTCTGAATTAGAACATATCCCACGGGTTCTCATTTGGATTGTTCATGACAGTTGGCTGCTCCCTATGTAGAAGGCAATGAGTTTTGGCGGTCTAGAAACACTTACCAGATTAGATGGGAGGGGATTGTAGATGGGGGCCTTATTTGATTCACCTCTGAGTTTGCACATCATAGGCTAAATCCTGCTTAATGTGAGTCTCACAGTTGACTTCAGGGGGATCAGAATTTTGCCTCAAGTTGAGACATGAGTGGGTTTTCTCTAGCTGAGCCCACTTGGGCTATGGGCACAGACCTGAGAGCAGTTCTCATAACATGAAATGAAGAGGAGATTGGTTCAGAGCTCGCCGATCAATGTGAGGATGACATCCCTCCTCCAGGAGAGAGCTTGGAATCTGGTGGAACATTGTAGAGATTAAAAGTAATGCTCAAATCATTGGAATTGAAATGGACACTGTCAGGCTAAAAAAAAAAATTGAAAATAAATTCCTTCCCTGTGCTACTAACAGCAGTGTCAATAACTGAAATAACTCCCCCCAAGCAAGTTTTCTTTTCTGCATCAATACTGTCTATTTACTTCTCAGCTTGGGCAGAGAGAATAGACTAGTCCGTCTCACTTTCTGGGTCCCATGCAATAGCACAAGCGCTGCAACGTTTGGGTTGCAAAAGCAGCAGGAAGACGCACCGATCCAAGCAATCAGGCCAACAAAAACCTGTTTTCATTGCCTTTCTATTAGGCTTTGTAACAAAAGCCCACATTGCAGGCTTAAACTCCCTGACAGGCTCCTTTCAAAATCTGCTGGAGAATCTGTATGCCTTTGAAGCGTGTGCCAAGACTGATTCTTTTTAAAAGTTGCTGAGCATGAGGCTCTTGTTCCATGCACCTGGCATTCAATCAAGCTACTCAATGGAAACACGAAGGCAGTGGTGGGTTTCCTCGTCTGGGCCTGAGTAATTTGATACACTGTTCAGAACTAGTAGGGATGAGCAAGAGTGGATTCAGGCACACACAGCACTTCCTTTCAGTGCAGAAGGACTTTGAGTCTGTGTGGCATGGAGTTTCAAGAGGTTCCTGATGAAAGGGTCCATGTGTCTATTGCTGAAGTGACACGTCCTCCTGGCAGAACGTGATTTGGATACTACACTAACACCTCAACTGTCGCTATAGTGCCCACGACCTCCCAGTGAGAACATGAGCTGCTACAAACCCCGAACAGTACAGTGGGCAAGTGCATGCAGGCTTGAATCGGGATGTGGACAGCAGCCATGCCTTGGGATCCCAGCAACTTTTGAGGTTCTCAAACACTAAAGATCCTCTAAAGACTCAAATCCCCCCCCACCCCCACCCAGAGCCTGTTTTTGGTGTCTGTTCCTTTAAAAAAATAAAAGGGAGAGGAGCATCAATGAGTCTTTTGGTAAAACCTCCTGAGTGGCAGGAGAAATTTGCCTGCTCCAGGGACTAGAACAGTTTCAAGTGAGGTCATCCGTGCTCAGACAAGAATTCAGTGGCTTGGAAGCTTCTGCAGCACGCAGGATATGAGGTTCCTGGAATATGCTTTCGAGGCTGTTCAGAGAAAGGAAGCGACTAAGGGCCTGATATTGAGAGCTGCCAGGCACCCACTGGCCCCTTTGAAGTCAGTGGGCGCTATATTGCTCAGCATCATTCAGGGTAAGGCCCCAAGTGTGTGTGTGTGTGTGTGTGTGTACGTGTACATACGTATTGGTTGCTAAGGGTGAAGCTGGAGCACTACCACTGGAAGCAGAGGGGCTTTTGGAGGAGGAGGGACTTTTATCCCCAGCCTTAGAATTGAAAGGTCTGTTTCTCCCCCACCCCCCTTTTCCTATCCTCAGTTGGCTCCTACTTTAATAAGTGCTTGGCTGTTTCTCCCTCTCCTAAAGCAGCTCTGCATATTTGGAAGAAAATCAAGCTTGGAATCAGATCGGCTTGTAAAAGTTCCAACTCCTCTTGGCTACTGAGGGCTTAACTTTGAGATAAGTTTCCATGAATGCAAAAAGGCACCAGCGGCCGAACAAACAGAAGCTCAGACTCTTGCTGGTAGGAAACTGCTGCCTGTCCCAGCAGAAACTTATTTTTATAAGACCTCTTGGTCTCCAGGAAGTGCTTTGTGGATTGGGGGGAGGAGAGGGGAAAAATACAAATGCACCTGTCCCTCAGGACACACGTGTTGTATGTCAGCAGCTGCCCTGCTGCTAAATTAGTGCTAGGCTTATTGAAATCTTTTACTCCTTGGTCTCTCTCTAGAAATCAGGTTGTTATAGCACAACCTTATGGAGTCATGTTAACTAACAGTGTGTTAACAGTCACTATAGACAAGGACAAGGTGTGCTTAACATTTCATCATCTAGTCATGGGTAAATCCGACTAGAACCATAGGGTTAACCACGGCCAGCTGACACAATGCCTAGCACAACTTCTCCCTCTCTATGCTGACTTCTAAGACATCGTGTTAGTTAACATAGCTCCCCAAGGTCGTCATCTTAATGCAATCTCAGGCTATATCTACACTTAAAAGCCTGCAGTGGCACAGCTGCGGCACAGCTGGAGACTAGCCCAGAGGCGGCTTATTGCCTCATTGTTCTATTAGGAGATGTACTGAACACATCTGTGAGGTGCTGAGCACCCTCTATTCCAGTGGTTCTCAACCTGTGGTCGGGTCTTCAGACTGTGTCTAAGGGGTCCGCGAAAGACTTAGACTGAAAACTATGTATACACACAATAGATTTCCAAAGGGGTCTGAACCTCCATTCAAAATTGTTTAGGGATCTGTAAATGAAAAAAGGTTGAGAACCACTGCTCTACTCTCTTCAAAGTCAGTTGGAGGTTTGAGTGCTCAGAACCCCCCAGGACAGAGCCCATACTGAGATGTGACACTCCCCTGACCCACATTGTAGGCATATAAAAAGCCAGACAGAGTAAAGAGTATTTGGTGTTTTTTAGAAACTTAGCATTGTAGTGAATGGGAGGAGAATAATATTGTTACAGGACTTCTTTGAACTGCATTTGATATGCGGAGGGGGGGGGGGTTTCACATCTTTCTGGCTTTGTTTAGACTAGGATCTAAAGGTAGGTGTGGTGTTAGCATGTGGTAGCTAACAAGTGCTAGCTACTAAATGTCTAGTGTAGACAAGGCAGTGTATATGTTAACTTGCATAATTTAGCATGTGTTAACAGAATACACTGCCTTGCCTATGCAGGTCTTTTAGGACGTGCTAGCTAATGTGTTCTAACAATGCACCTTTAGATCCTAGTCGTGACGCAGTCGTTCTGAATGATGTAACCCTGTAGCCATTTCCAAATGTCCCGGGGGCGCCAAATACCATTGTAATGGAGGAGAAAGGGTGATTTTTTTTGTTTTCCTTTTTAAAAATTCAGGTCTAACAAGTGGAAAGGCCACAAAGACAGGCTTGACAGCTGAAATGCATTTCTTCTAGAAAAATGTACAATACTCAGTGATGTTTGTATCGCTTCTATACGAAATGGTTTAAAAACCAAAAAAGACTTGTGACGTTTGTGAGTGTTGCTATTTTAGAACTTATTTCTATAAGTATTTTTTTCTTAAAGATGTTTAATAGTAATTCATATAATAAAGTCATGTTGTACTCTTAATGCCTTGGTTTTCTTTGCCTTTGATTTTTTACAGACATGAAAAAAAATGTGAAACTGAGAATCGAATTAAACACATTTTTCTTTCATCTCAGTTCTGGACACTGCTCTCAATGGCTCATCTGTTACCGAAAGAGTAGCTCTTCTAAGTGAGGGATTCTTATTGCCTCATTCATGATGACTGTGTAGTGCACAATCCAGTAGGTGGCTCCAAAGAAACAGGAAGGAAGACTTATCTGAATAGCCCGACTGCCATAGCAGAGCTCCAACAAGCTCTTGTCAAAGTGATCTGAACTACAGTTGGTCAGCAAATGGCTTTTTCCTGCCCCCACTGAAATTTTTAGACTATAACTCCCATGATGCCCCACAGTTTCGCCTCGTGGAGACCAGAAGCAGTGCATCCTGGCCATCCCTGGCTGTGGTGCATCATGGGAGATGTAGTCTGTCTGGGAAGCCTGGCCCATAGAAAATCAAGGACATGAAGTAACAACATTACAACTCCCAAGAGGCACTGAGGTAACCTATGCAAACTGAAATATTTCATTTTTTTTTTTTAATTTGAACATCTGAAAAAAAAAATGTCCACAAAAACCAGATGCTTTTCATGTAAAACTTTATTTCAGTGGTTCTTAACCTATTTACCATTGTGGGCTGCATATGCAGCTCTCTGTGTATTATGTGGGCCGCATCCACCCAATATATATACTACCTGTATGGCCCTGAGGATGTCACAGCTGCAGCTGTGTGCTGAATGAGCCGCGGGTTGAGAACCACTGCTTTATTTTATTGAAAATCCAATTCTCTGTTTAAAAATAAAAAGGCTTAGACGGAAATGTTTTCATCTGGTCCTAAATTGAATGCCTGGGCAGCTAATGGGGGGGGGGGGGTTTATAAACTTTAACATGAAATTTTGACTCAAAATCACCCCTTTTTACAGTACAGGAGACTCATAAACCCAAGGAAAGCTTTTCCTGGAAATGTGATCCCTGTCATAAGCAGCTCTCCATCCTCTTCCTCCTCCAGAAAGACTCAGAATGCTTTGCCACTTGACCTTGCAGGAGCAGCAGATTGGTGCAGGGAGAGCTAATGTTAGTTGTGGTAGTCACGGACTTGTCATGACTCAAGAACACCTTTTGTGACGGGGCTCAGATCATGGATCAAGAAGAAAATTTTGAAGCTTTATTATGAGGGGGAAAGAGCTTGAGGAATTCTAAATCAAACAAGTGTAGCCTCTGACCCAACTGCCCGCTGTCAAGTCCTGCAATATATCTGTCTCCGTCTTTGGTATGGAGGGGAGCTTCTGGCAGTGACTGCAGGATCAAGAGGAAGCAACATGTCCTGAGACCTGTTCCTTCTGTGGGCAGCCCCTCCATATCAAACATGCATTGACCTACTTCAAGCTTCTAGCAAGTTACCAGTGCAACCCTCGCTTGGACCAAAGATTCTAAGGCAGGATTTAGAGGTGAGTGAGGGGGCTTTATGTCTCTGATCGTTCATCACAGCCTGGCAGGCAGCATCACACCCTGGCTCTGTGCAAAGTCCATCTACATGAGTTTTGCACAGGCTGGGGTAAGAGTCAGGCAGGCCCATTGACTTTAAGGAATGATTTCCCTAGTAAATGAATGATCCTGGCAGTTGCAGTCTAGTATATAGGGCATGTACAATTCACACCCTTTCCTCTGACATATGTAGGCATTTAAGACTTGATCCAATGCAAGTCATTCCATTGAGTTCAGTGGGCATTAGATGGAACTCTTAGCCAGTGAAATCAATATCAGATCTTCTGTAGCTGGGCTTTATTTATGAACAAGAATTGCTCACCCAGGCTGCTCAGGGACAGTTGTGACATCAGGTGTGTGTGTGTGTGTGTGTGTGTGTAAGCTCACAGCACATCTACAGTCAGCTATATCAATGTGGAACTGCATTTTATCAAAAATATGGTGTTACCCACGTAATGCTGAAAATAAGAAGTCTCTCGGGATGAAGTGCGTGCAGTTTCTTTAAACTGTTTCGTTGTCTGGAACACACCAACTCCTCCATGTCTGTCAAACGTACATTCAGGCTCCTTCACATTGTCTTCTAGTGGGAAGGGAATACATTTATTATAAGGTGTTATTACTGAAATATGTGTTCTTAATTTTCAACACCACATATTTCCACTCGCTGGCTGGATCAGTATGTCTCAAAATGCGAAACGTTATTGAAGTAGACAATTTAAAGCGAGGTGGAGCTTGTGAATCTCACTTCCTCAGAGTCAGTGGCAGCATCTTCGCCTTTTCCCAGTGTGTGCTTTGAGTTCTGACACCTAACATCTCCTAAAATTTTGAAGTGGAATCTGGGCAAAACAGACAGTTTTGGCAATGCTGTTGTGCAAATCCACCATGATTCTGGTGCTTTGCCATAAATTTGCCACATTGCTCAAAACTGGGCCTAGGAATGCCTTGTGAGTTGCACAGTTCTGGTCTGTGTCAAGTTTGGGATAAAGCCTGAAATCAGGCGAGTTGTGATTACAGGGGCCAGATCTTCAACTGGCGTATGTAAATCAACATAGCGTATCAATGGAGCTTTGCTGCTATACAGCAGTTGAGGTTCTGGCCCACTTTGTTGAGGAAGATTTTTGCCTGGCTCAGGTAATCAGATAAGTGCGCCTATAAAGATGACGAATGAATGGCCAGAACCAAACACATGATGAGAAAAAATGAATCTAACGTTATGAGGCTGTCTGATTCTGAACTTAACAACTTTTCACAGTTTGGTCTCTGTTCAGAAGACCTAAATCAATGCTGCATCTTTGATGGATTATTTTTGGGATGAGTAGAGAGGCAGGCATTGCTCTTACTTTTCATGCCTTCATATGCATCTTTTTAAGTCAGCCATTGCAGGCCGCAATACAGTAGGTGCATTGGCACACCGCTGCAGGCTTTAATGCTGACTTATTAGCGTTCACTGGCCTTTAAGACAACACTAGCCTCTTATTCTTGCTCTGGAAGGATGCTCTTGTATTTAAGGTGCAGGATAAATAGACTGCTCCAGACCTAACTGTAGCCAATTAGTTAGGAGCCCTGAGTTCCCTTCCTGAGTGATACTGGCACTTGGATACCACAGTGATAGGACCATACAGGTACTAGATAGACTCAACCAGTCACTGGATCATTCTGCTTTTGTAACTAGGGGAGAATTATCAGACTGAGAGGTGCTTTAAGCCAGTGTTTGAGTTCCCCCAACACAAGCATGGATTAGCACTTGCAGAGGGGACCATGGGTTGAGAGCGCTCTCCTAACAGAGCTCTCTGTTAATTTCCTCTGAAGCACCTGGCATTGCCTACTGTCAGAAGACAGGATGCTGGGCTAGATGGACCATTGGTCTGACTCAGTAGGGCCGTTCTTATGTTCCTGCTCTTGCCTTCCATGGTGTATTATCCTGTTTGCCTCCTCTGACCTTGCCTTCATTTCCCTGAACTACAGCTGGGTGCTCTGCTGATTTCCATTTGTGTTAGCCCTCCCCACCTCCCTTTGCTGTTAAAGATGTTGGTTCCTCACCAGGACTGGGATTCTGTTGCCTTGCAGTGGCCAATCCGTGAATTGCACAAGGATGATTATTTATTTTTGGACAGGCCTTTAGCTAAGACTGCAGCCACGCAGCAAGGACCCCATGGATGGAGACAGGGCAAGCTTCTCTAGGAAGGGAGATGGTGATGCAGTTTCCATTGCCTGGATTCTACCTACAGAGCAGTAAGGGGGTCAGTTTTTAATATGTTGCTGTTTTATGATGTGACTTGTCCTCTAGAAAGTAGTCTTGAGGCACCCGCTCATTTCACACCAGCCCCTGCACAACAGTTGAGCTTTCAGTCACTGGCAGGGATGCACCATAACTGCTGATGGAGAGGTTTGCAGTCTCTTGAGCTGTACAGTGGCACATTGTGGGGTGAAATTCTGGCTCCACTGAAATCAATAGTGTGGGGCCAGGATTGTACCCAAACCTCCAGCTTTAAAGAACATTAACTAATTCTCCACAGTGGGCTGCTAGAACTGATCCTTCTGCTTATTGTCCTTTGGATTGCTACAGAAAATCCAAGCCTTTTGGTGCCCCTGCCCAGCCAGCCAGCAGAATTCAACTCCCAGCTTCTCTCCCCATTGGAGACTTAACCCCAACTTGTATAGCAACCCATGCAAACAGACCTGCCTTGCAGCCTATTCTCAAAGCCACCAGCCCAGCGGTATTTTGGAGCAGCAGGGAGAAGCAGATGCCAAAGCTGAGGGCCCCCTTCAGTGAACGTTCTGCCCAAAAACTTAGGAGGAGCGAAGGCAGTCTCCAAAGCAACACCCTTAAGTTCAGTCTGTAAACCAACAGGCAGCCAGTGCAGATCGTGTGTGTAAGATTCACCTAAATGTTTTGTATCTAAAGACAGTTGCTGTTATTAGTTCAGAGTTTATTACTGCTCGAAAGAACTTCCAAGGCTTGGAGCTGTGGATAGAGCCGAGGCCTCTACAACAGGGGGTCCTGGTTCTGCTACTGACTGGCTGCATGGCCGTGCCCAGATCACTACTTGTCTCTCTGCCTGGGTTTTCCCTCTGTACAGCTGCTAAAATAAAGGTCCCTGAACTCACCAGTGAGTTGTGAAGCCGCCTTCCCGAGAAAGTGCTTTTAGATCCTTGGATGCAAAGTGCTAGACAAAGTATTTGTTATGACCTTAATTGTAAAAAGCATGAGAGGCTGAAAAACTGAAAGCTTCAGCTGAAAAAGTGAAGGCAAACTTCCAATTGCAGCAAGTAATTTTCATCATTAACCCACCAACACTGCAGTTATAAATAGTGGGAAATTGGAGCTTTGCAAATGAGTTTAAAGGGTTAGCGCCTGCTAACTCCTTAGTGTGGCCATGAATGCAGTCCTGGACAGCAAGCTGTAGTTTCCTTTTTAATTCTCTGTCTCTAATGGGGGAAGTTTGTTCCTCTGCCAAGAATGAAGTGAGATGATAAAATGGTCCCCAACTAAAACTCTGCATC